GCAGGGTGTTTACTACCCGGAAAAACCTGGAATTCTCAGGAAATTCTTTTTGTCTAGGAAGTTGGTGAATTATCAGGGAATTTTTGTTGGCATTGTCTCTTCATTTTGTACAATACTTCGCGAGCAATCGAAAGTTAGCTGAAAGACTAAGTTGGTAACAAAGTAAAAACTGATAAATCTGTTTAAGGAGCGATAACTAATGCTCTAAGCATCATTCTAGCTTTAAATTTTATTTTCTTGCATTTCTTCGAAATAAGAAACCGAAATTTTTAATAATATACAAAAAGTCTGTTTTGTAGAGACCGTTTTTCTTATTTGAAGATTTTTATAAATTTTAATTTTCTTCTCATTGTGTGAATAAGATACACACTGTGAATGAGATAAGAATTCTACACGGAGAGAACTGTTTCTTAAAATTTATCCTGATAATCGTGGAACAGCATGGCATTTCGAAGAATTTTATGAGAGTTTTGTGAAATTTTACCATATATTTTACTAGCAGAATGTGTGGTAAAATTTCGAAGAACTCTCATAAAATTCTTTGAAATGCCATCGTTGTCCCACGATTACACGATTTTCAGGATACATTTTAAAAGAAATTTCTCTCCGTATATACAATAATTACATTTATTTAAAATTTGCATCGTAAATTATTATAACTTTGCCTGGAAGTTTCAATGAAAATACTTGAAAAATCTCAGAAAATTTTTTTTTCTTTTTGAAACGAGTAGACTTACTGATAAAAATTACAAGCGATTTTCTCTTATTTAAAAGTAATATCGAACTTGAATACACGTTATTATCCCCATCCGGGAACGGAGACCGAATTATTTATTTAAACGACCAGTAATCCGTGCAATATAAGTAATCGTACTCCATAGTGTAGTTGCAACCGTAATACAGAGTCCATCTCGTATAAACTACAAATTATTCATTACATAAGTTGCGTGTCTCGGGAGACATTAGATAGTATGTACATTAGATACAGTCACTAGCAAGTCCATGTTAAGCATTGCCGAATTCCCCGGCCTCGGCAATTCCTCGACATTCCTCGGCAAAACGATACTGAGATATTCGGCAGTCATTTGACAAATGGTTCGCTAACCGGAACGTTTAAAATCCACATTTTCACGGACGAGGGTCGCAAACTGCAGTTTTCCTAGAAGAGCATCCGACAGCACCCAAGCTTGGACATCGTCCAAGAACCGTGCTCTAAACTTGCAGCGAGTGACGTGTTACTCCAGGATAACTAATCGCTGTGAATCACATTCCTCTACCGTGGGCAGGTAGTACGCGCTGAAACGTCATGCATTTCCGCGAACGTATCACTGGGAAATCATAATCTCGCTCCGTTCATATAAACTCCGCGGCGTATCGCGTGCCCGGCCATTCAGTAACTCGAACAAGCCACCGTATGTATCGGCGTGCGTCTCGTCCATCCGAAACACGATTCACGGGAGCCTGGGCTCCTCGGAACAGAACGGAACGCCCTCCCTTTCTCTCCAGTGCCTCGACGCAAACTAGGGTTCCGCGAGATGACGAAAAATTACACGTTCTCCGCCGCCTGTAAAGCCTATTTAAACGACGCGCCGTCCGCTTTAGGGATCACTTACTGCGGCCATAAATATGTAAGTACACACGGGCGAATATCGACTCTGTTTGCTCTTCAGTATTACGAGTTTGTTTTCTCTTTCTCTTCTCTGTCAGTGGTGTTTTTTTTTCTTATTTAAAACACAACGTCAGGAAAATACAACATTAAGGGCAGGTTGTTCCAACCTCTTGGTAAGTTAACTAATAGTTAAATTACATGTATTTGTCTTTGTTTTTCCTTTAAAAAAAGATAGACATGTAATTTAATTATGAGTTAGTTCACCCAAAAGGTTGGAAAAACGGCCCTGAGTAGGAAAGCTGGATTATATCGGGAGGAGAATTTTACATGCAGAAGCTTATTAATGTTCATAAGTTTTGAGAAATATTTTGTTTCGGTGTTAATTTACATCGGAACATTTAGATGGAAGTCCTCTATTACGAGATAGGTTTTGTAATATGAGATAGCACGTTTTCAATATCCAAATTGATTCACAAATCTTTTTTCGCAACGATTACACGATCAAACAATGAATTTTCCACTAAACAGATTTTGCTCCAAGGGCAATAAATTCATGGTGGAATCAACTGATGATACCCATTCATTTAACAGAAACCCCGCTATCCCATATTAGGGTCCTATCCCATAATAGAGACTTTCCTCTACATATAAATTCTGTACAGATCAAAAGCGATGACGGCTTTTTAATTGCTTTTATATATATGTATATTATACCATTAATTTTACCGCTTATACATTTATTACATATACCTATGTATATAATAATATGTACAAGCGATCACTGTTAGGCAAATGAAAGTAGACCGTATCGATTGTGCACAGACTTGGAGCGTTTCCTGCACAGTGTGCATTTTCAACGTACAATGTCACTGACGTAACAGACGCCACGAATCACCGGTTAGATTCGGCGCCTATAATTTACCGCGAAAGACTGAAAATATCGTCTATATCTATCGATGGCACGAGTCCGCATTCTCTCGCGAAAGGCGTACGTCTATAAATAGCGCCATGTGTCAACACAATTCCTCGTGTAATTCAAGGGTACGGAGATGTACCAACACCCAGACACACCGATCTCGAGTTGGCCTGACATTAAACCCCAATTCTCTCTGGTCATTTAAACGGAGATACCGAGAGACGTAGGATCTGCCACTTTCCAACGTATCAGTAACAATTACATAAATACTCCAATAGTGTCAAAGTACAATAGTCTGCGTAGCGATCGTTGAACGAGTACAGCACTGCTGAACATTTCATTCAACTCAATTGGGATCAGGGTTTAGGACTGTGATACCAACGCAAAACTGTGGCCGCTCCAAGCGCATGGATTTTCTAAGTTATCTTCCAAGGTATCCCCTCTTCCCTATCCCTTTTTCGAAGCAACGGAGTGCGTTTGCTCTCCGGTAATCCGATCGTGGCTCGAGCTGGAAAATGGGACACGGCAGCTGCAGAGGAGAGGGAGGGAGGGAGGGAGGGAGGGAGAGAGAGGGAGAGAGAGAGAGAGTGAGGGAGGGGGGTGCAGCAGCGTTCGCATAGAACGGCAGCCGACGAACAATCCCTTCGTAAACCGGCCAACCCGCTCGAGGGCCCGGCGTCAACTGATCGGATCCGTTGAGGCCTGAGGCCGGCGTGACGAGCCTCGGACGGTCTCGGTTGTTCTACGGCCTGACCCACAGCTCGGCCTGTGTCGGGTCCCATGCCGCCTCGACGCCGGATGCAGCCTGACGATTCGTCGGCCGCGCGCCGGCCGCGGTTGTGAGACTCGTGAGTGGCGAGCGCGCGTGGACGTGTCGCCTCCTGTGTGCGGCTCATAACGCCGTTGTGTCTCGCGCGAGTGCTTACGAGCGAGTGCGTACGCCGGGGCATTCGTTAATACCGTTTCCGGCGCGCGCCGGGGCCGTGCGTGCAGTTTCGGTTGTGTTGTGTTGCGTGTCTCGCGCGCGGCGTCCGTCCGTCCGTCCACCCGTCCGTCCGTGCACTCTATCTCTGCGTACGCTCATTATAATCGTCATCTTTTTCTTCCTCATCTTCACCGTCATCTTCATTTTTGTGTGCACGCAGCGTCGCGGTTTCCGCTGTTTCGCTCCTCTCGCGGGAGGTCAGCACCTCAGCATCGGTAGGTAGGTAAGTGCGGAATGTGGGACTCGGGGTTGCTGCCGCGCTGGAACGTGGAAGATGCCGGTTCCCCGAAAGAAAGAGAGAGAGAAAGGGAGACGTTGGAGTCCCCCGTTGCCTCTCGAAAGGAGAGCTCGCGGTAAAATATGAGCGGCCGGTTTCGGTAGTTTTCTTCTCTTTGCGTCGGCGGCGGAGCCAACGCGGGGGATCCACCGCGTGTCTCGCGTGCGAAGCCGCCGGTATCGGAATTCGCGTAACGATTGGACGGGACGAGTTCGTGGCGAGTGCTCGCCAATCGCTTCTACGCGGGGCTCCGCTGAAAAATCGCGCGTGAGAGAGCAATTTTAAATGGACCCTCGCGCCGACGAGCCGAGATCCCGGGAAGGTCGAAGACAACCGAATCGCGAGTAGACTTCTTATCTGATCGAGGGCCGCGATTCAAATCGCCAACTTGGGTAATGAGGACTTTAACGCGTGGATAATCCGGTCTTTCGCGAGTGAAGAAAATCAAAAGCACCGGAATGTTGGTTGTCTTCTTTTTTTTTGGTAAACAACAATACGGGGATATTTAGGCACCGATGATATCTTCGATATCTAAATCATACAAATTTCACTCTGGCTGAGGTAATGTTTTTCGCAATAAGATTTCTTTACAGCGACGAGAGGGGGAAATGTTTCCGCTTTGATATCTAAATCTTATAGATTTTACTCTGCCTGAGGTAATGTTTTTTCGCAATAAGATTTCTTTACAGCGACGAGAGGAAGGGGGGGGGGTTGTATGTTGAATGCTAGTAGGCATAAAAATAATTAAAATCGATTAAAAATGTGTGAATGTGCCGACGATGGTATTCCACCTGACAAAACTGTTACATGGCCGAAAGTAACGGCGCGCAGGACGGGTTGGAAAACGGTATATGAATTCACGCATTATATATGTAAAACCATTGGCTACCTACATCTTGCTCATATTGGCCGTCTTATTTCCTATTGATTTATATCGAGACTGGTCCTGATTATTTTCTCGTGCGTTTCTCATCGAGTATGAAGCCTAATCTACAATGCGTTCTTTGCGTCTAGAAACATTCTGCTTTGTAGTGAATAAATACGTTTAGAAAATTTGGCGCAAGTGGATAAATTGTATTATACGCTGTACAATCGTACGTTGTCGGCAAAGTTTTTAAGCGTCTCGATTTGTTTCTATAAAATAGAATGTTTCTAGATGCAGAGGGCACATTGTAGATTAGACTTAAAGAACCGACGCGTATTCTCGTAACACTCGTATTAAATCGAGCGCGTGTTGTTACTTTGCTTCGTTGCGCGTCAGCCACATACGCACAGTTTTCGAAAACGTGGCGAGGGAATACCCAGAGTCCAAAGTCTAATCTAGGGTGTGTGTTTTGCGATTAGAAGTATTCTATTTTGTCTAAAAATTGTTTGGCAATATACGATTGTACAGTGTATAATTTATCAGCGAGTACAAAGCTTTGAAATTGGTCGGCTGTAAAATAGAGTGTTTTGAAACGCAGAGAGCATATTGTGGACTAGGCTTAAAAAATAATTCCTGCTTCTCTCACTCTTCACGCAAGACGTACCGTCTTTATTTATCACTGTATTGCGTAATACTCATCGTGAGAAATGCACTTCAACGGGATTACGGATAGCATATCTATGAAACGCAAGACGAGTGTATGGAATGCCTCAGCGTGTGTGAAGATAAGACAAGAAGCGACAGCCTGACGACGGGGTTGATTTGCCCTACTGCTGCCGCCATTGTGCGTACCTCTTGTTTACGAACGGTGTGCGTAGAGAACGCGTAGAAAAATCACGTGACAATCGTTAATTAACACGGAACAGCCTCGGGAGGCTGGATTCGGCGTTTCATCGCGTAGATAAACATTTTATACATTTTTATCGCCCGACAGGCAACAAGCAGAGAAACACAGTATCTCGGGAATTGGCATAATAATGAAAAAAGTGATAAATCATTTTAAAAAATTAATCGACGCGGATGCTCAAACGTTGAAATAACTCGTATTTTATTTCCCCCTGTATCTTGTATCATTGACACGCGCAAGTTACTCGAGCAGCGAAACGCGTTTAGCATAGACGATAATTCTGTTAGCTTATTCCTCAAATGAATAATTTATGCTGAACAGTATTCCGAGAAAACCGCAGCATATATCGCATTCATGTTCATACAAATCTACAGTTCTGACACATAAGTGCAGTGCTTGCAGTTCTGTGGCGTCTGAGAAATATGATGATTCTCCCACGATAAGACGTCACTGAACTTGCACATTTGTAGATAACCTGTATATTTATATCAACTTTACGGACAACGGTCAATAATTACAAAATTGTTCACAGCGAAATAATTATTATCTACAAATTTCCTTCGCTTGCATTAAACTGAACAAGCAGCTCAAAAGGAAAAAACACACTTTATTTTAAGTGATACAAATCCAATTTCAAATCCCTTTTAGGTTTCGGCATGAAACGACATTTTATGACATTATCGTACCTATGGCGTTTTAACAGTAAGTTTTTTGTATTTATATCATTTATATCTTTAATAACGTTTCCGTTATGTTTGTGTATAGAGTAATTGTAACTTGATAAGAACCACCGGATGGTCGAAACGTAGTGAACTTTATAATAACCTTTCTGCCAGTTTTGCTCGAAGAAATTTGCTTTATTTGCAAATCCAATTTTTTCAAGTTATAAATTTCGAAAGAATAATAAAATTAAATTTTGTGTAAAATATTCATAAACATTTAAATATTTATATACAAATAAATAGAAAATTAATCAATATATTGTATAGGAGAATATATTTGTTATAAGAAAAATTTATTGCTATTAAAAAAATTCATTGAAAAAAAAAATAATTTCTTTGCAAAGTGA